CAAATAATTAAAATTTGACAAAAGTGGGCTTTTATTGAAAAATCTTGATTATTTGGGCCAAAAAGGTCATTTCTAAGGAAAGTGGGTTTTTATGTCATTTTGGTAGTAATTGAGCCAAAACAAGCATTATAACAACAAACGGGCTAATTACGTCATTTTCACTTTAATTAGGCATTGTATACTTATTACATGTTTAGTGGGCCTTATTGACCCATTTACACGTTTGATGGGCCTCATATATTCATTTCATGTTAATTGGGCCTTAAATACCTATTTACATGCTTATTGGGCCTTATGTTCTCATTACATGTTATTTGGGCCTTATAGGCCCATTGATTTTCTTATTGGGCCTCACAACACATTTTATGTTAATCTGGCAAATAACAAAAAATACTTGACACTTTGATAAAAACAAATGGTACTTTCATCACCAATCTTTTGTAATCAAATGCATACTCGAAACATTATTTTAAAACGGTAAACAATGTGATACACAATTCGCGTAAATTTAGTTAATGTTCTTGTGAGATGTTCTTTCATTCGTACCTACCTAGTGTACACCCTTAAGTCATGTAGTTATAACCAGAGTCTTCTGGAGGGAGAGTGAGAGTTTGTGTATAGATCTATACGGAGTTGATAGCCCCACACCTGAGTTGTTCGCTACAGCTAGACTATGCCAGTTTAGGTTGACAAATGTCTTACCTTAAACAAGTCGACGCCTAAAAAACGTCATGACAAGCAGATCAGTCATATCAAATATGGTTATAACGACTCACATAGAGTTTAACAACATGATAAATTTACTGAATACTTATACTATACTTTTGATACATGTACGAGTTATTCATTTCTATAACACCCAGGTCTTATGGTTTAAAGCCTACAACTCTTTTACAGATCGAAAATATCGGATTTTCTGGGAAACAAACACGATACCTTACATTTACTTACAATAGAAAATATAGAAATTTTTGGAACTCTCTCTTTATACATTTTCAAAATATGAACACACGTGCTATAATACAAGATTTGAAACACAGCGCTTAAACAATTTTTGTGGAAAATATCGAATTTCTGGAGTTTACAAATGATATAAAACCTTTCTTACAAACATGCTTATGAACTCACCAACATTATATATGTTGACCGTTTTCAAAATAACTTGTATTCTCAGTGAATCGTTAAGCATGTTGGTCATCAAGAACACGTGGATTTTTGTGTATCTTTCTTATCATCATACATTTGTCATTTGGAATGTAATTTGTAAACCAACACACTGATGTAAACTATGATGGTTGATATATTTCATGTGTGATGTGTGATGATGATGTTGTCTTTGATTCAATTATATACACTGTGATGATAATACAAGATGAAGTCACCCAACCCCCGAACGTTTCCGCCGTTTGGTTAAGGGGTGTGACACATGGTTGGATACCATAACTCGCGTCATTGTTTCTGTCCCTGTTAACCTTTTGGTTGTGGCTGATCGGACCTTGTATCTGAAGTATGAGCTCAAGTGCTAAATCCATTAAGCACTTATGAAGAAATTGAGTCTTGCGAGGGTATGCCCCGCGTAACCAATCTGCCACCCCGATGATGGATTCTGCACAGCCTCGCATACGTTGAGCTTACCTCTGGAGTACACCCCGTGTACGCGGAAATATTGGGCCTCTTCATTTTGGGCTTTGGTTTTCAGCTCGGATTGTCTTGGACTATGTTGGGCCATCTGAATTTACAGTTTGGGCTTTTTGTCTTGTTGGACTTTCTTGGGTAAAGGCCTATGAAAGGAATTAGGACTAATTTGGAAATTTGGGCCTTAGATGTTATTTTTGGATTGTGGGCCTTTAGTCATCTAGTTTGGGCCTTAGCTTTGGGTCAAGCTTGTGGAAGGGTAAAAAGGTCTTTTACCCTAATTTGGACTCATAGTGTGAGTTAGGAGCTAGATGTTGATGGGTTGTATTTGTGGTATCTGATATCATGTGGATTTTAGCGGATTAGCATTCAAAGATTATTCGTGGGATCAGCTATTGATGGGGTGTCGTCTCAATGTTAGTGGTGTAGGATCTATCAGCCAACAGTCATGGATCGTCTGTATGATTCGGCAGTGCAAGGTGAGTTGTCCTCACAATACTCTTAGGTCGAAGGCACCAATGTCGGCGCTTTGGATTGTTATCCTGGTTTATTGTATGATTGAGTAATGTGGTGATTTGTTAGATTTGTATCCTGGTAGATAGGATGATGTTATGCTTAATGATCTGTTAGATATGCTTGTTATATATTCTGGCTATATGTTTACCGATTGCATGTGTTGATGTAGTGTGGTTGGGTTGAGACTGTACTGCATTGTGTTGCCAATCAACAGACTCGGTGATATTTATATCGATATGTTATATGTATGCTTATTTGTTATGTATATGTCGACATGGTTTGTGTGTATGGTTGGGTTGAGGAGGTCCTGCTTAGTGTTGAAGGTCAACAGACCCAGGGCGGCCCGGATAGGCTATAGGCTAGTCAAGTGTACCGGTCATGTCGAAGGCTTATAGAACGGTCCAGACATGCTGACGGCCCGATGAGGCGGTCTAGACATGCTGAAGGTTCTGTGAGCAGTCCAGACATGTTGAAGGTCCGGTGAGGCGGTCCAGACAGTTCGAAGGCTTTGTATGCATGTTGTTTGTTGTTTATGTTATTTGTTGTGTGTTGGTACCTTGGGGGAAACTCACTAAGCTTTGTGCTTACAGTTTTTGGTTTATGGTTTCAGGTGTTTCAGAGATTTGTGGCAAGGCGAAGGCGTGACCATATACATCTTGATTTTTTTGTCATTGATCTTGGGAGGCACTGATTTTCAAATAATGTTTTGGGAATACCATTTTGTGAACATTTTATCAGTATAATGATCGTTTTGAAAAGTTTAAAATTTTTGAAATTTTTAGGATGTTACAATTTTTTTAATGTAGGGAAGCATAATTACATCCACCCATAATGTGTGTAAACCAGACATCACTAGATCAACCCATCCAAACACCCATTGCCAAAAATGTTACATGCCAACTCACAAGTCAAAAAGACATGATCAATCTTTTCAACCTGAAGATCAGTCATCGGGCATATCATAGAAGGAATATCATCTAGTAGGAAGCCGATCCAACGCCTACCATAAAAAGATATTAATCTTCCTAGGGAGGAACTATTCCAAAGCATAGCAAACTCCTCATCCAGAAGACATGCATTATCAATAAATTGGTGGACCTCATTCACCATAAAGCCAACAACACTCTCCAACTCCCATCTCTAGCCATCTTTCTCAATAGAGGGTTGGAAAGTACCAAGAAGTTGAATAGGATCTTTATTCTACCTTTCATCAACCCCTCCATGAATAGGTTGACACCAAGACCAAGTCCAACCATCAAATCGCTTATAAACTATGGAATAATCTTTATGTTGCTCCAAGTTGATATTTTCTCTATGGAACAATCTCCACGTTAGGTCAAAAATATGGTTTATACTTTGCTTTTCTAGGAAAATATATTTTTATGTAATGTTGTATGTGTTTGCGGTGTGTGTGTACGGCCGTACACAGGGTGTGCGGTTGTACACATGTGTATAGCTGGAGGTCCATATAAATAAAGGAGTGCATGTGAGTGTACGGTTAATAGAGAGAAGGCTAGAAGAGAGAGAAAGTTAGAGAGAATAATAGTGTGTGAGAGAATCTATTGTAAGGAGCATAATTCATATCATCAATACATCATTAGATTCATCTTAATTCTTCTTCTCCTTCTCTTCTATTTGATCTGGCATCATCCAATTGATTGGGATTCCGCACCATGAATTGGATCTGATTGATACACAAGCAATTTTGGGGACTTACACTCCAAATTGCACAAGACAAGTTTATGTTAGCTATAGTTGTGTTGTAAGTTTGAGAGGCACGAAATCACACTCGCATGAGCTATAACATGATCACAGGGAACACAAGGGTCCACAATAGCACCCCCATGCTAAGTTGCATCATCCATAACAGTGTCCAAGGGTAGAGATGGACATGGTCAAAGCAATGACACCCTTGCACGGTGTGGGGCTCGTGAAACAAGATCTTTACACCAAAACCCAACCAACTTTTCTCGTCTAATAACTGAAAGTAACTATTGTTCTTTGTATAAATTCATGATTTTCGGTTTTTACAGAGAAACTTCTTCACATAAAGTTACTCTACAAGGGATTCTGTTATTTGATCTTAGTTTTTTAGGTCTTCCGAAGACACTTCTGCACATAAAACAAAGATAAAACTTCAAAAATGGTCCCTGTGGTTTTCGAAAATATCAAGTTTAATCCCTAAGTTCAAAAAACCTCACAAATGGTCCCTGTGGTTTCAGAACTTTTAACATTTGGTCCTTCCGACTCACTCCATTAGCATTTCACCGTTAAGTAAGGGACATTTTTGTCATTTCACTACCCAGGAACCATTTATGAGGTTTTCTATTACTTTTTTGAAAAATAATAATAATAAATAAATAAATTTTAATATGCAAAGGGTCCCACATCTCTCTCTCTCTCTTTCTCTCTCTCTCTCTCTCTCTCTCTCTCTCTCTCTCTCTCTCTCTCTCTCTCTGCTGCATCTTCTACTCCACTGTAGCCCCATTTTCCTTATTTTACATGGTCCAAATCAACGAAAAGATATCAAAATTTTGAATCTATAGCTCCAAAAGTCATGTTTCGCACCAGAGTCAGTGATTCCAAAGAAATGAACATCGACAGGGTTATCGCTGAAAAAGGATTTGTATACGAAAAGGAATTCCATCTGACAGTTATGAAAACCTCTCTGTTATTCGTTGGCAATGGCTTCGTCGTCTACGATTCCAATAGCCAAGTCGTGTTCCGTGTCGACTCATACGGTCCAGACCAAGTCTACATCAACGGTGGGAGGGTTTTTTGGGTGAGAGGATGGAAGGTGATAAGCCGATATTAGCGTGAAGAGATCTTCGATCATCAGAAAGTCAAACATGACGGTGAAGATGTTCGGCGATCGTTCAGAGGAGTATCATATCGAAGGATGCTTCTCTCAGAGGAACTGCACGATATATGATTCAGCGAAGGAAACAACGGCAGAGATCAAACCCAAAGTGGATGTTTCCACTAATGTGATGCTTGGGAAAGACGTATTCTTGCTCACAATGAAACCTGTTCGAATTGAGAGCCAATCTTCTTCTCCAAAAGCGATTTGCAGTCTTGGATTTTTGTGTGTGTTTATGGTTAGGGAAGAAGAAGCGGGGGTGGGGTGTGTTTTTGATCGATCTCTCCTGAGGTAAATTAAACCCTTAGAGGGTCGTCGGAGATTGATCTCTCCGCCCCTCCTTGCGATTCGATCAATCATCACCGGACCATTTTTTTTTCTGCCTGTTTGTCTTCTTTGATATGCCATGGAAAAAAGTCATTTCCCCTTATTTGTGTTGGGGAGAGAGAGAGAGAGAGAGAGAGAGAGAGAGAGATCCTTTGCATATTAAATTTTATTTATTCATTATTATTACTTTTTAAAAAAGTAATAGAAAACCTCATAAATGATCATGGGTAGTAAAATGATAAAAATACCCCTTACTTAATGGTGAAATGCTAACGGAATAAGACGGAAGAACCAAATGCTAAAAGTTTTGAAACCACAGGATCATCAGTGAGATTTTTTGAACTTAAGGATTAAACTTGATATTTTAAAAAATCATAGGAACCATTTTTGAAGTTTTGTCTAAAACAAAAGTAATATATATTTTCACATAAAACAAAAGTAATATATTTTGTATTTTGCAAAATCCAAATTGTATTTTTTTTTATCATCCCAAACCCAATTTCATAATACTACATGTATTAGAGTTGGAGTTATATATTTTGGACAATATTTTGATACACAAGCACTAAGATTATACAAATTAGTTTTGATATTCGATCCTACTTTTCTAACCAGAAACTCTCTTTTCGAGCAACTTTTTCACAAACACAATTATTTTAAAGAACATATTTAAAACTGTGGTGTATGATGTAGATTGCAACTTTAAGAAACATGTATGAGCAACTCAACCCACACAACTCATATGACAATTCCTTTCCAAAATAGATCATAAAGTAGCATAAATCAAAACAATATAAGTCGTCCACAATATCAGAATCAAAATTACAAGAAACATCATCATCATCCCCCCAAAAGAATGTATATAGCTACTCCAAATACAATGCAAAGGCATTCAACCATACTCCCCGAAAACTATATAGAACCCATCTCAATTCCATAAAAATATCCATCAATCTCTAGAATAACGAGTAAACAAGAGCACATCCAAAAACAATGCTCCCAACCATTGAACCCATCTTTTCTACGCCACTCTGCAATATCAATACCAAAAGTAAGATAACAAAAATATGACCAATCTCACCGTTTTTTGTTCATAATCATGAACCAAAGTGATCAAAATACCAACGCCAAAGGCCTTAGGTTTTGGGTGGTATATTTACAAAAGAGTTAATATCATAAAAGGATAACAAACTATTTGTTTTTATAAAACCTTATTGTTTTAAAAAAGTACCACAATTGGTTAACGGACTAAACGTTTTTATTTACAAAATATCATTAAAATTAATGGTACACAAAGTTCCAATTGCTTAACTTCTGATAGTACATTATCAATAAATAAATAAATAAATTAGTTGGGATCTAGCATTGGTTCTGGTTGTCCTTTATGGGCTAATCTCAAAGCTTTTAAATCTTTTTAGGGATTATTAAATTTGGATGTTTGTTGTTTGTACACATTAATTAATACTAACATATGAAATCCTTTTGGCTTAAGATCTCCCATGGTTATCCAACAGGAGAGAGAAACAAAGACATGAAGGAGATCTATGATCCTTTTGGTTTAGATCTCAGTTGCTCTATTTTATTAAATAAAAATCTTTTGAGAAAAATGATTTTAGAATTGTGTACATATCCATGAATTATATTTAAATTGTTAATGTATTGGGAAATAACTCTAACAGCTAATTTTATTTCTCCCAACACGCTTTAACTTTATTTTTCTTGATTTGTGTAATTACACCAGCCTTTTTTTAGGGGCCCAAGTGCAATAAGACAATACACCGTTCATTAATGTAATTTGTAAGTATTCTCGGATGCCTAAAAAACAAGACACACGTGATCACTACCTCAAAGACAAAAAGCCCAAGATACGATATGCCAACACCCGGCTCATGTTAGCCAGAGACACAATTTTGCCACCCATGGCTATCGTGAGCATGCGCAAATCAAGAATCTCACACACTATACACTATAGATCCAGTACATACTGATTTGAAGTTGGGGTTGACTTCCGTAACTTCACGGGTTGTTAACAAAATAATCAAAGGGGAATCGAATTTTTTTTTTAAATTAGCTCAGATCTAATGCTAGCGCACGATAACAAGTGGATTTTAACTAATATACGCGGTTTACTTAGAGTGTTGAGACATTATTATAAGGGAAGTAATATTAATAAAGATTTTGTGGTTAAAATAGTGTAGAACCAGATCTAGCCAGTATAAGGGAAAGTGTACGTACCACATCGGTAGCAGATGGTGCCGGAGATAGATCGGTGGCAAGAGAAGGAGAAGGAGCACCGGTGGGAGGTGCCGGTGGGCTTGAAAGTAAAGGAGAAGGAGCAACCGTCGGAGTCACACTAGGAGTCGGAGATGAAACGGGGACAGGAGCAAGGGGGGAAGCGAGTGGAGCAGGTGGTGGTGAGGCGACAGGAGGAGGGGTAGCTGGTGGCGGTGATGCAACAGGAGGAGGAGTAGCTGGAGGTGGTGATGCAACAGGAGGAGGGGTAGCCGGTGGTGGTGAAGCAACAGGAGGAGGAGTAGTTGGTGGTGGTGACGCAACGGTGGGAGGAGCGGCAACAGGGGGAGGAGTGGAGGTTGGTGGAGATGCGACTTGAGGTGGGGGAGCGGTGGTGGTAGGAGGAGGAGATGCGACCACTTGCGGTGGGGAGGTGGTGGGGGAGGAGGAGGGAGATTGACCGCCGACGGAGGAGATGACAATGCAGATGAAAGCCGTGAGGAAGACGGCGTTGCGATCCATGGTTAACGTGCGCCGCTGACGGTGGTATATGTTAACCTAAATGGGTGAAGATGAAGCTATAGATATAAAGTGGGAAGTGTTAATGTAAAAGTGTGTTAGGAAGAGTAAAGAAGGGTAATATTTATATATAGGGAGACTGGGAGAGTCATGATCTTGTTCTGGTGTGGTGGGGCTCACGATATTGTAGGTTACAACAGCAGTTTGTTGAGAGGAGAAAATGAAATAGTTAATCACACTCCAAAAATAAACTATCATGTATTTATTTATGTTTATTTTTATTTAATTATGAATAATTAACAATTAATTATGTAAGCACAATTGTGATTTTGATTCAATGTTTCATTATGAATTCATACGAGATCTATCTAAACTTTTGTATATATTTGGAAGATATTGTTGTGATATGTATTTGTAAATATAGATTGTGTAATAATTTAGGTGTTTACAAGTGGAAATTTTAGATTTAGATTCAGACATAATTTTAAAAAAATAGAGATAATCCAAATTATTTGAATATTTTGTACTTTTAAATTTTTTATTTTTTAATTTTGTTGTAATTATTTTGATATCAATATTAAGCGATTTGAGAAATTTAATAGAAACTAAAGAATGATCATCACAATACAACCCAAAACAATATGATTACTTTAATTAAATATCAATCCGGGAATATTTGTAAAGACCAAAAAATGAACAAAAATAACCAATTATTGATGTTTATCTCCAACAAGAGGGTAAATATGTAATTTTCGATTGAAATCAAAGAAAATTACATGTTTTCATGTAACATTCCGACGATGAGGTGCTATTAGTTTTGACCCTATGATTTATTTATTTTTTATTGCAATATGGTCCTTAAGTATAAGAAATAGTGCAATAAGGGCCCCAGTGGCATTTCCGTAAATTATGGGTTGGGGGAGTACGCCATGCGTACGTGTGTACGCTGAGCATACTAGGTATGTAGGACGTATGTGCCAGTCATGCAAACCCTAATTTGTAGGGTTAGGCTCATATTTAAACCTTATTATAGCCTCATTTCCCCTCACCTCATTAGCTTCCATCCTCTTGGAATGTTCTTGCAACCCTAATCCATCTTGTGAAGCATTTCTAAGCTTGAGTGTGGGTGTTTTGTGCCTTTAAAGAATAAGGAAAGGAGTGGAGACCATCTTGGAGGAGTGGAGCTCTTTAGATCCAGAATCTCACCACCTTTTGGCATCATTTGGAGCTATAAAGTTCTAAACTTGATGAAGTTTCATTTGAATCTTGTGTTGGGTTGGTTTTTGGTTCCTTTTTGTCCTAAATGTGGTGATTCATGGACATAGCATGTTCTTGACTGATTAAGCTGTCCTTTCAGACCTTAGGAGGGGTCTTAAGTCATAAAAATGGGATCTAAGTGGTTGGTTTTGCTCCATGCATCTTTTAGAGGGTCTTAATGGATTAAGATGTTGAGTTAAGCTCTTAATGGACATGTAAAGTCATAAAGTTGGAAACTTCATGACTATAGAGGGTATTTTAACCTTGCATCTGAAAGTTGGACGAAAGCACTTGTGGCATTAAGCACTTAATGAAGTTTGGAAGATTTGGGCGCATGCCCTGCGTAATTTGGGTACGCAGCACGTACATGGTTAAGGCCCCCGATGGCGGTCAATGATAGCACGTGCAACGTACGTACACTGTGTCAACTCGGCTGAGTTAACTCGGTTGGGTTGACTCAGTTGACTTATGGATTGTTGACCAATTTGACCTAGGACCTTGACTTTTGTTGACTCTATTGACTTTTGAACAAATTTGACTTTATGTCAAACTTAAGGGTTTGGATTGGTGATTAAGTGAAACGGCCTAAAAATCAATGGTCAAATTTACATTTTTAATTAAAACTAAAACATTGTTACCATTTAATTTAGACATTCCAAATCAAAGTTAAGTAAATCATTTATCAGAGTTTATCCCAAAATCATTCATTGTGGGAATCATAGGTGTGTGCATTGCGATCAATTCGAGCTCTTCTTGTCCAAATCGATGATACCTGAAACCAAAAATGTAAATCGTAAGCATAAAGCTTAGTGAGTTCCCCAGAGCGTACTGTAACATCTCAACCGTCAGGTATCATTATTATTTCATTTAGATTTCATGTTTTAAGGTCTACTCGTCGAGTAACAGCGGGTCAGGACACGTCATTTAATGAGTGACTCGGCGAGTTGACATGGGGGACTCGACGAGTAGGAGCTGGCAGGGGAAACCCTAAATTTCAGGGTTTTTGCACCATATATATTGGACCATTAGCGCCTCCCACTATCCTCTATCACCCCCTTGAGAGCCAGAAACCCTAATTTTCGTGAGTGTGAGCTTGGAGAGTGTTTTGGAGCTTTGGGAAGTGTTTTTTGTGAAGGAAACTTGCAGTTCAAGAGGCTAGCATCAAGGATTTCATGTGGATCCAGAGTCTACTTCAGCTTGGGCACGTTTTGGAGGTAACAAGCTATTACCTCGACCTCTTTTCTTCTAGAATCTTTCATATGTGAAGATTAGGGCTTTCTTTAGCTATTCATGAAGGGATTATTGATGGGTTTTTGGTCATAAGAACATCCTATGTGCTCATACAAACCCTAATGCTTGGATCTAGGTTTCTCTATTGTACATGCAATTTATCCAAGACTATAAACCCTAATTCTAGCATATAATAATCGATATTAACATAATAATGGGTTTAAGATATTACCTTGATTGTTATATAGCAATAACAATCACAATTCCTTCTTGTAATGACTTTAGAAAGCTTAGAGTCACAAATGTCACTCCTCTAATGGTTCACAAACACCAAGAGCAAGAGGATGAAGAGGAGAAGAGAAGGAGGCTACCCAAAACCGTCCAAAACCCTAGAAAACCAGTTCCTCACGTTTTTAGGGCTTAAGGATACTATTTATACATGTAGGTTATTAAGGATTTAAACTAGGAAACCCTAATCTGACTGCTTAAGCCCTAAGCAGCCCATGGACTCCTTTAATTAAAGGCCTTAGGCGATTTCATATGGGTTTCCCCATAGAATTCGTACAACCTTATAATATAAGGTAATCCATAGCCCAATTGCAATTATCTTATAATTATAATTCCAGTCCCTTAAGTTTAATTAATCTCTTTTAGTCACAAACTTAGTTCTTATTAATTATTGACTAATATTAATTAAACAATATGATTTCTCCTTTAATATATTATTCCCATAACATATTAATAAATCATATTTAATCCTTTCTCTCCATAATTCATCCTATTAAGTTGCTTTGGTGAAGACAAACCAAAAGGACCATGCACCATCGGGTCAAGTACATACCAAAATAGTTATGGACTTAGACATTACTCCAACAGTCTCCCACTTGGATAAGTCTAATAACTATTCCGCGTATGACTTCAGATCCTGATCTGCAATCATAGCTTTCCAAAGCCGCTGTCAACTCTGATCCTATCAGATATGCGTGTCCTTTAGATAAGGGATCATATATTCCTCCATTCTAGATATCTTATAAGACATGATTTCAAATCATTCTTTTTGTACTATTTCTCGATTTTTCGATTTATGACGACTGACTAATTGAACAAATCAAATTATCCCTAGCCCGGCCGAGCATTTACGTTTGTCATCAGTAAACCATCGAGAGGCCCAAAGATATCGCTTTTATCCTACTCTGGATAAAAGGAATGGATAAACTTTGACTCAATGTTCGCTTGCACTCACTCACCGAATCACACACAATAATATGTTTTATGATACCAAGTTACTAGTGCGTTTGCATATTATCAATGTGCAACCGATTTGCAAGATACAACTCACACATCTCGGTTTCAAGAATATAAGATGTTATCATCTCACCAATCACTCGTGATAAAATCCATGAAGTGATCCAAGTAAGCGTGGGTTCAATCCAATGCTCAAATCATATTCATAAGCACTCATGAACGTTGCATCAAACATTTTCTTATGTCTAATGCTCTTTAGACAATCCACACACCAATTCACGACAATCTTCATTCATACCTACTTCCAACATATGAACGACTGTGGCCCGTTTGAATAATTTGATTGTTCTTAACCAATTAAATTATTCAGGAAGTCAAAACATGCAAAGTGAAACACAAGGATAATACTAATCCCATATGGCCCCAAACCCTTGAGTATAAATAAGAACACCTTTTATTTATCACCATATTGATTACTCATTATTTGTTGTTTCGTGTAATCAACTTCTTACTTGAATTACAACACTTGTCCCATGCTCTCAGCATGCACACAGTGTTTACCTGTGATTCTTACTTTGTGAAATAGATCAAATGAACACATTTCCAATCATACTCATTTCACAACTCCTAATCCTTTCCACAAGTGATAGAATATCAAATTCTTGCCACTTATAGAATATGTTAGATTCTAACATTTTATGCAATGATCCTTTCGTGATGTCACTACACTAAAGTCACAATGACTATTTCCAATGAAATTACAAAGTCCTCTATCGGAGATTGTTACAAGACAATTCCATAGATGTGATGTCTCTCACTCAAAGTACATTTCTTTGAACATCCTTTTGCATAAAAGTTTCTAATCTAGACATAGATTTTCAATATCTAACCCCTAATATGGAAACCTTTCCATAATTACCATATGACAACGTATTCTTAATAGAATCTTATCTATTCATAATAATGCCGATATGTTCCATTCAATACTATACTTCCAATTACTCACAAGCGACCAATCATCGGCGAACTTTGGATTGTCCTTTGATAATTGTTTAATTATCTTAGTCAAAACCGATTTTTGTCCTTTTTCCCTCTAAATGCGCTAGACATTTGGAAAATTTTTAGAATTGTCAAATATTATAGCATTTGCAATCGATCCTATACCCGAAGCGTATGGGACACGATGCATAATATCTTACATAAAGATTTGATACCTTATCAATCTTCTGCCATAATATTCTATGTACTATGTTCCCACAATTCAGATTATGAAGAGGAATCCCATAATCATAATCAAAATTTAAGAACACACTATGTATCCTTGACTAAATTATTAACATTCCACAATCTAAGCCT